GGGGGGGGGGTGGAAGTCAAAACCTGTGAACCTCAATATCTTTCAAACGAAACAAGATATTGAGGCCCGCTTTGGACGAAAAATCGTCTAAAATTGCATACTTTAAGATTCTGAAGGTCAAAATCCCAAAACTACATTTTTAACTTAACTTGCGTGCTTTTTTTCAGTTTTTGAGGAAAAGCAATTTCTTTTAAACACACTAAACTGAAAGAGCACAATTTTGTATTTGAACCAAAACCAATTTTTTAGATTGCTCGTCTTTTTCCGCATCCAACGAGTGGTCGTATAAGCTGGGGAACCGAACGGTTCCGGGGTTATGATTGATTGAAGTTTCCGCTCAATGCGCGCCGACCGATTTTCGCGCGCAAAAAAGTCGGATTTAACTGTTATTAAATCAGATTGAATGTTCAAACTGAGCAAAATGCATTATTAGGGACTCTTGAGGGTCGCTGAGTTCAGAAATTACAGATACTTCCAAAAAATTCACGTTTTTAAAATTACAGCTCCGTTCAGGACCACTGAGCTGCCGGGGAATGTTCAAACTGAGAAAAATGCATTAATAGGGACTCTTGAGGGTCGCTGAGTTCAGAAATTACAGAAACTTCCGAAAAATTCACGTTTTTAAAGTTACAGCTCCGTAGCGCTATTTTTATTCCGTCCTGAACGGAGCTGTAATTTTAAAAACGTGAATTTTTTGGAAGTATCTGTAATTTCTGAACTTAGCTACCCTCAAGAGTCCCTAATAATGCATTTTGCTCAGTTTGAACATTCAATCTGATTTAATAACAGTTACATCCGACTTTTTTGCGCGCGTTGAGCGGAAACTTCAATCGATCATGACTCCGGAACCGTTCGGTTCCCCAGCTTAAAAGACCACTCGTTGGATGCGGAAAAAGACGAGCAATCTAAAAAACTGGTTTAGGTACAAATACAAAATTGTGCTCTTTCAGTTTAGTGTGTTTAAAAGAAATTGTCTTTCCTCAAAAACTGAAAAAAAGCACATTAGTTATGTTAAAAATGTAATTATGGGATTTTGACCTTAAGAATCATAAAGTATGCAATTTTAGACGGTTTTTCGTCTAAACCGGGCCTCAATATCTTGTTTCGTTTGAAAGATATCGAGGTTCACAGGTTTTGACTTCCACCCCCCCTAGCGCCCCCCCAACATGGAAATGTCGTTTTTGCATACACCTCTTTCTTACGCAGATTGTGAAGTTATGCGTGCATTACAGACTTTGCCAATGCGCTTATCGTGATTTTTGAGGCATTATCTTTAAGAGACAACTCTTAGTTTTGCTCCGACAAAATTTTGCAACAGGCCCATGAGCGGTCCATTAAGCTGCGGGGAACCGAAGGGCTCGAGAGTTGTGGACGATTAAAGTTTCCGCTACGCACGCGCCGAGCTACGGGCCCAAAGCAGGATTTGGGTGTTATGAAATCAGATCGAATGTTCTAACCGTGCAAAATAAATTTTTAGGGGGTCGCTGAGATATGAAATCACAGATACTTCCAAGAAATTCACATTTTTAAAATTACAGCTTTGGAGCACTACTTTAAAGGCCCACCGAGCGGCCGACCGGCCGCTCGGTGAATGTATGAGTTATCGATAGACAAAACTTGAAGAAATTCCAGGGGAAGGGGTGGAAAAAGCGGTTTTTGCATCAAGCTCCGTGCATTAGTATGTAAGCAACATGATAGTAAACTCTTTTAAGTTCAGCAAATCACTGAGGCATTATTTCGTGTGCAATAGCGCAAGCAGCATTGTCACCATTGTGACAGTTGACTGTTAGAACCTCATACAGGGTGTACCAAAAGTCCGTCCCACCCCTGCTAACTTTTGAACGAATTGAGCTAGGGTAATGAAACTTTGGGAATGTTCCTATCTCAAAGGGGACCATCTTTTGGGGGGGTCAAAATTTTGGTCCCCCCTCAGGGGGGCGCGGGGGGCCCCCAACTTTTTTTTTTCAAATGGCAACCCCTATCTTGTGATACATCATTCGAAAGAGCATAAAAAACTAAGAATTTTGGCGCAAACCGCAGATCAATATCTTAATTTTTGACCGAGTTATGATAGGTCAAAGGTCAAATTTGACCTATTTTCAAAAAATCATAACTCCGGTTCAAATTATTGTAAAGAAAAAAATAAAACGGGAAAATTTACCAAATTGTGTCCGCTTTTAAGTAAAAATTGCAGAAATCACTTCGCTGTAATTTTAAGGGGGGGCTCGGACCCCCAAATACGTCAAATCAAAGGTCATTCAAATTTCCCGCGAAAAAAGGCAATTTCCCCTAGATTTGCCTCCACATTATCTCAGTAAGGTCAAAATTAGTTCAACATTACGTTGGCAAGTCCCCAAATTTCGGGAAAAAATAAAAAAAAAACGAAATTTAAGGTGATTAAATTTGACCGTTTAAATTTCGTTTTTACGGTTTTAGTTTTTGCGGTTTGCGCCAAAATTCTTAGTTTTTTATGCTCTTTCGAATGATGTATCACAAGATAGGGGTTGCTATTTGAAAAAAAAAAGTTGGGGGCCCCCCGCGCCCCCCCTGAGGGGGGACCAAAATTTTGACCCCCCCAAAAGATGGTCCCCTTTGATATAGGAACATTCCCAAAGTTTCATTACCCTAGCTCAATTCGTTCAAAAGTTAGCAGGGGTGGGACGGACTTTTGGTACACCCTGTAGGTCTAAGGCCAATGGCTCCCAGTCAACAACTCCAAATCAACTCTCACGAAGAAATAAGGCTTTCCAACATTTTGATTCATTTTTATTATTGTCAACAGTCCACTCCCGCATCAATATCCACACTAACAATGAAGTTATTGTCTTGAAGGGGCTTTTGGAGGTGATTGACATGTGCTAAAAGTAACATTAATGGTGCCCAACATGAGGGATCAAAAAATCAAAATACTATTTCCATTGAAGGATGGCCCCTTGGGGCTTAGCTCTCAGCATTCAAGAGTAAATTTTGGCCTCTGATCCATAAAAAACAACATGAGTGCAGAGCTTTAAGTTTACTTGCTTTCGCAACCTCAGATACGTGGTCTGTCCGGAAAGTATCAGGACTTTTTACATTTTGAGAAATCGAGCTTCCCTATGACATTGTGGCTTTAATCTCCTTCGAAGTACTCTCCGTAAGACACAATGCACTTGTTCCAGCGATTTTTGAGCTTTTCAAAACAGTCCAAAAAGCTCTCCTTTGGGATATCCTTCAGCGCTCTCGTCGTACTCTCTTTGATGTCATTGATGGAGTCAAATCGAGTCCCTTTCATTGGAGATATCAGCTTTGGGAACAGCCAGAGAGAGCTGAGTCTGGACTGTATGGAGGATGTGGAACCAGAGAAATACCGTGCTTTGCCAGAAACTGTTGCACAAGACAGGAGAAATGAGCCGGAGCGTTGGCACAAATTTCGCTGCCACTCTACGGAGCCCGAGTTTTTCAGTTGAAATTTCCGTAAAAATGGTCTTTGGGATATATAGCTGCTCTTCCAGTTCCCGCACGGTTAACCGACTGTCTTGGGCAATAGCTTCCCGAACTTTTTCCACGTTATCGGGAGAATTCGTCGACGAAGGTCTCACGGACCGCGGATCACTAGCGACTGTTTCACGACCCGATTTAAAACGATTATACCACTCATAAATATTGCTTTTGCTCATAGAATCAGTGCCGAAAGCTTTCCGAATCATTTCCATGGTCTCCTTGGCAGTATTTTCCAGATTAAAGCAAAATTTAATACAAATTCTATGATCTTTACGCTCGGTCATTTCACGAAAAAAAAAAAAAAAAACGCGACGATAGCACTTGACACACACACTTTGATCAGTTGATTGCAATCGACTGATTAAAGGTGTGAAAGCCCAATTGTGTGGCTGCATTAGAGAGGACATGGGCAAAGCCCACCCCAGGTTTCAGCTCAATATCTGCATTACATTCCGAGATAATCAAAAAGTCCTGATACTTTCCGGACAGACCACGTACATATCTCAAAGGAAACTGGTTACATTCGGCCCACTAGTGAAGACAAAGAAATTTCCCACTGTCTGCATTTGTTTACATTTTTTTAACTTAATTTTGCTATAATATTTAATTTGGATACTCCGAAGACTCAAGTTTCATGAAAATAAAGGACACATTAGGCATGTCTATTGAAGCTCACGGTAAGTAATATTTCAGAAAAAATTGATTATATTGCCAAGGTCAGTATCATCAACGAAAATATATGACTGAATGTTAAATTTCCAATTTATTTAAGGCGGGCAAATTCTCAGATAGTAATGATAAATAATCAACGGTAATGAATGCGAAAAACACGGCAAACTATAGAAGTAAGCCTTGGGCGTTACTTTAGTGATCGTAGGGTTTCAAAAAATGTCCGTTCTCATCACTCGGCGGTTAGATTTCGGTGAGCCCTGATGGCCTACTTCTGATGTGCAAGAAGTAAACTTCCATTCCATAATATGCATAACAAAATTTAATACATATCAATTAACTTAACAAGAATTAAAACTTTTTTTAAGAAGTTAACAAAAAAAAAATATTAAAAGTTATAAAATGACATTGATAATAAATATGTAGGATAATTAGGGATCTATGACTGCCACTTCATCGAGACCACACCCTCACTGAGTAATTGGGCAAGTTTCTTTAAATAAAAGTTTAGGTTTTTTCTTTTTTTCATCAATGGGATAGTTGAGAAGTTGGCACCATTGATTGTATTGATTCAATTGTGGTGAACGGCAGAGTTGCACTAACGGTGATGGGAGGCATTCCTGGGAGATTGATAGGAGTAGTCACTGGCATTCCAGGAACACTTGGTTGACAGCCTGAGTGAACTGAAAGAAACATGGATACAAATTTTGTACAAATGATCGAAAGAAAGAGAAATACAAAACAATAATTCCAACGAGAATGGTAAGATAATGGCAGTGACACATTATAATAATCTTTGGAGGTCATCAATACAATTTTAATACCAACATTTGATGAGACGCTGACAATTGGACGAGTTGATCCGGAATCAACCTATCTACACCCAAGAGCAATAAATCCGATCAAGTTTGAAATGGAATACTGGAGGAAATGATGGATTATGAAGGGCTGTTTGTAACTGAAGATACGAATGTTGGTAATATATAAGAAATGATTTAATATATGAAATGTTCATTATATACAGGAAATTTTGAAATATATATACAAAACTGTCGCAATATATAAGAGATGTGTCAATTTATAGGAAATCGACTCCAAAATATACAGGGTTATTCAAAAGTCAAGCACCACTGGCCATAACTTCAGTTCTAATTACGATATCGACTTGCGGTTTTTGACGATTTTCCTCATATCGAAAGGACAACTTTTTTAGGTACTTTCCAGTTTTTGATCCCTTCGTGGGGAGGAGGGTGGGCCGGGTAACTAAAAAATTTCAAATGGCCACCCCTCTCATGGCCAGTGGTGCGTGATTTTTGAATAACCCTGTATATGGCGAAATTCGCGCGATATACAGGGTGATCCATAAGTCCTTTCCATCCCCTCGAAATGTTTACCTAATTGAGGCAAAGATTTGAAACTTGGGGGATGTTCCTAGGTCAAAAGGAGCCCCTTTCTGGCCCCCAAAATTTTCCGGGGAACCCTTGGGGGGGGGGGAGGGGGGTGGATAGAAACACATTTTTTTTTCAATTGAGAAGACCCTCTTTGTTATACCTCGTTCGAAAGAGCATAAAAAAAGGAAACTTTTCGGGTAAACCAGAAGTCAATATCTTAAACGGTTTCAAAATGGCGTTCGGTTAAAATTCAAGATGGCCAAAAATTGACACCGGTTGTTTGTCAATAGATTTGCGCGAAAATCGGTATCTACGAGTAATTTGATAGGAGAAACACGAATTTGAAGTTACATTTTCTGAAAAAGAATGAATTTCCAAAATCGCCAAAAATTCAAAAACTTGGGAATTTGAGGCATTTTGGCATGAGATTAACAGATTTGAAATTAGATTTCTAAAAAAAAATAAAAAATAAAAAATCGGCCATTTTAGAAATTTGTTGTTTTTTAAAAAAATCTAACTTCAAAGTTAATCTCATGCCAAAATACCCCAAATTCCCAAGTTTTTGAATTTTTGGCAATTTTGGAAATTTGTTGTTTTTTGAGAAAATCTAACTTCAAATTTGTTATTCTCGTGCCAAAATACCCCAAATTCCCAAGTTTTTGAATTTTTGGCGATTTTGGAAATTCATTCTTTATTAGAAAATGTAACTTCAAATTCGTGTTTCTCCTATCAAATTACTCGTAGATACCGATTTTCGCGCAAATCTATTGACAAACAACCGGTGTCAATTTTCGGCCATCTTGAATTTTAACCGAACGCCATTTTGAAACGGTTTGAGATATTGACTTCTGGTTTACCCGAAAAGTTTCCTTTTTTTATGCTCTTTCGAACGAGGTATAACAAAGAGGGTCTTCTCAATTGAAAAAAAAATTTGTTTCTATCCACCCCCCTCCCCCCCAAGGGTTCCCCGGAAAATTTTGGGGGCCAGAAAGGGGCTCCTTTTGACCTAGGAACATCCCCCAAGTTTCAAATCTTTGCCTCAATTACGTAAATATTTCGAGGGGATGGAAAGGACTTATGGATCACCCTGTATATCGCGCGAATTTCGACGTATATATTGTGAAGTCGATTTCCTATACATATGTATATTGACACATTTCTTAAGCTGGGTACGCACTAGAGCGTTTTTGACGAACGAACCGAATGAGCAGTCACGGAAGACTGCTCGAGTTGTGCGGCATGTGCGGACGGGTCTACAAACGGCTCGAGCGTTTCTCCCGCACACGCGGAACGAGCCGAATAGCATCAAAAGCTTTTGATGTTATTCGGATCGTTCCCGCATTTTCCAGCCACGAACCGCTGATTTTTACCGCCCAAAGTGCATCAGTTGACCTCTTGGTTAAGATGGAGAGGCATCAAGTGGCAGCCGGTGCTTTTTTAATTATATTCAAGTTGTTAAAAAAGAAGAAAAAATCTCTCTCACGCTTTTGGATGAGAAAGTTATATAGAGTGCGTGAAAATAATTCGCTTGGGAGGGATATGGACTTCTTCCACTTTCAAAATTTATTGCGCATGAGTTCAGTTGATTTTGAGAAACTGCTCACTATAATTGGGCCGAAAATTACGAAGCAGGTGACCAACTTCCGTGAACCAATCCCGGTATCCAACCGACTAGCAGTCACACTGAGATTCCTAGCAACAGGGGACTCATACACAAGTTTGCAGTATTTGACAAAAATCTCAAAGCAACAAATCAGCGAAAGAGTCATCCAAAAGGACGATCATCTTCGCGCTCGCGGCGTTCCCGCGAAAAAAGATCGGATCGTTCTGTTCCTCGCGTTACCGTGTCTGAACATGTCGAATACGTGCTCAAACTGCTCGCACCGTTTGGCTCGTTCTGTTCGTTCGTCAAAAACGCTCCACTGCGTACCCAGCTTTATATATTGCAAGATTTTCGCCATATATTTTGGAGTCGATTTCCTATAAATTGTCACATCTCTTATATATTGCGACAGTTTTGTACTTATATTTCAAAATTTCCTGTATATAATGAATATTTCATATATTATATCATCTATACTATAAGCTCTCAAGCCTCCTAATTTTGCGAAACTGGTAACGCTTAGTTCCAGCGTTCTACCGGGCCGATGTTTATGATTTTTGCGGCTATCGACGGGTAATTGTCTCTAGATAAGCCAACTCTTTTCAGATTTTCAAAATATGGCCTAGGTTTTTTTATATTAAGTGGTAAAGTTGCGAATTCTCCCATTTAAACAATGTAAATTTATATTTTTTGTCATAGTTCGTTTGAGCGTTCTACCGGGCCGATTTCTAAGTTTTTTGCGGTAATCGACGGGTAATTGGCCCTAGATGAGCCCGCTCTATTCAGATTTTGGAAATAGGACCCAGGTTTTTTTACAATCACGTTATAAAAGTGAGTGAATTTTCAGAATGCTCCGAGACTGCTACCGCTATGCGCGGGAGGATGCGCAGCGGTCGAGGAGGTTGCGCAGTAGCTGTGTAGCCTGCGCATCAGCTCTACTTTTATCTACACAAGATTCGCCCCGTCTGCCTCAGGTAGAGCGGTGGCCGAGTCGTCAAAGACGTCGGAAGCGTCCACCTTGAACATGGTAAGGGTTCGATCCCCGTCTCCCGAAACTCTTAATTATTACTTGATTATCAATGTTCGTTGTTTTACTGCAATATTTCATCAAGTAGTCATTCCAAAACGCGTCCTTTAGACTTCAAAAAAATAATTTTGTTTCTTCATTCATCAAAACCAAAAATTATTTCATTCTAAAAGTAAAGTATACCTTATATCGTAATTTTTAAGGGGAAAAATAAAACTAACACCGATAGGAGGGTAAAAATAGGGCCGCGAAGCGGCCCATTGATGGCGCGGAGCGCCTTCAGGGGGTTGGGCCGCGTAGCGGCCAGGGGGCGTAGCCCCCTAGTTTCTTATATATTGCCAACATTCGTATCTTTAGTTACAAACGGCCCTTCATAGTTAAGCTGGTGATGTAAATTATGACTAGGGAGCTGGAGAAAAGGCAGTTTTTCCGTCCGACCGTTTTTCGGGTAGAAAGTCCAAGCTGAGAGAGAATGTCAAGATCGATTCCTATCGAATTTTTTGCGTTCTTTCTGAATTTGTTATTGTTTTTGTTGTATTACAAACAAAAAATGCTCCACAAGCTCCCCAAAAACCCCTAACTACCCCCCCCCCTCCACAAAAAACCCCCAAAACCCCCAAAAATCGTGAAAAAATCTCTGAATGGCCCACTAAACATGATTTTTCACAATTTTCACTCGTTCCAATCGAAAGTACGCAAAAAATTACCCGGTTACAGGTATTCCATGAATGGTTGGCGAATCTGCCCGGAGAGTTAGAGAATTTTCATCTTTTATTCAGGGATGGTTTCATTCAACTAAAGACTATTTTTAACTCTGAGCACAATTTTTCCACACCTTAATTTTTGACGTGTTTCATGTACTGATATGTAACTTTAATCTGTTGAATTTTGGTGATGTGGCAAAATTGTGCTGGGTGTAAATGAAAACTAATAATCGTGAAAAATGCAGTTTTTTCGGTTTTCTCAAGTTTAGAGCTGTTTTTCGTGTTGACAGTTTAAGCTGAGAAAATGTCTAACCAATGATTTCTAACGGATTTTTTAAATTACGCTCTTTTTGAATCTGCAATCGTTTTTGTTACATAATTAACCGTTTTCTAGATACAGGTGAAAAATTGCCAAAAAACCCCAAAAATCGTTAAAAATGTCCAGAATAACCCATTAAGAGTAGGTTTAGACAATTTTCGCCTGTTTCATTGAAAGGTACGCAAAAATTTACGTGTATGAACCTCCCGTATTCATGAAGCAAAGCTGTTTTGGGCTCGTCATAAAATTAAAACAATTTTTCAGCCGAAAAATTGAGTCGGCTGTTTTGACACGAAAACGATGCCCAATCGCAAAAACATTTTGTGCCAGAATGCTCCTACCCTAGGGTACTTAAAATATGGGTTCAGATGATTTTTTGAAGTGGGGCCAAAATCGGCTCTTATGGATACCCCTCCTTTCCCAAAAACCCATGAAGGAGGACCTCACTACAACCTCCAGCTTGAATTTTTGATGTGCATTCGAAGTTCATAATAAGTCACATAAGGCGCAACGTGCGACAAAACAACAGCTTGTCTTTCTTTAATCTCAACATTGCGCAGATTTAAAATAATTATAATTATACCGTACTGCCTAAATACCTTTAAAATAGGGCTTAACTTTGTAGGTAACATATGTAAT